TGCCTGCCCCGCCTCCTCCCAGCTCCACGCCTGCTCCTCCCACACCCCACACCCCACCCCGCAGCGTCATGCCTGAGGCTCTTGAGAAGTGGCCCGTGCGGGTGCTGTCCAAGCTGCTGCCCCGCCACATGCAGCTGATTGAGCAGATCAACAGCAACTGGCTGGAGTCGATCAAGGTGGGTGGGGGGGTGGTGTAGAGAGAGAGGGAGAGTGTGGGGGAGAGAGACAGAGAGGGGATGTTTGGGGGAGAGAAAGAGAGAGAGAGGGAGAGAGGGGATGTGTGGGCGCGGCGCCTGCAGACCGGCTAGCTGGCTGGCTGTGCTGCCCTGCCCTCTCGCGTGCCCTGCTCTCTTGCCCGCCCACCTACCTCCCGCCTGCTCACCCTCCTGCCCTGCCTGCTCCCCTGCCCATCCCTCCTCTCCTGCAGGGCCATGTGACCGGCAAGGTGGAGGCTGAGCTGGCGGCCAAGAAGGCGGCGGCGGAGGAGGCGGCGGCGGCGCGCGCCGCCGCGCGCGCCGCCGCGCTGGCGGCCGCCGAGGCCGAGGGCGCCGAGGCGCTGGCTGCCGCGGAGGCCAAGGCCAAGGCTGAGGAGGAGGAGAAGAAGGAGGCGGCGCCGGAGGAGGACAAGGTGCAGCGGGAGGAGCGGGGCGGGGGCCAGCACGAGTGCGCGCCTTTCAACAGATTGTGTGGGGGTGCGCGTGGAGGGGAGGGGCATGGGCAGATCGGGGCAACCTACCACCCTCCCCCTGCAAACGCGAGGCCACCCCCGCCGCCTGCTGCCTCCCCCTGACACCCCGCCGCCCGCTTGCCTCTCCCCGCCACCGCCGCGAGCAGGACGCGCTGGTGGCTGAGCTGCTGAAGACGTACAGCATCGTGCAGGCAAACCAGTGGAACCCGGAGGAGATGTGCGTGCTTTCCTCCCCTCCCCTTTTGCTTTCTTCTCCTTCATTTTTATGTGTGCGGCAGGGCTGTGCACGCCCCTGTTGTGCGTTCTGCGGCCTGTGGGCACACACGCACACCGGCTCCGCACTGCCTGCGCGGCAGCCTCGGCTGCCTGCCCTGCGCGGCCCCGACCTGCTGCCTGGTCGAGCCCGCTGCCGCTCCCTCCCTCAGCCCCACCCCTAGAGAGACGAGATGTATGCACCCCTCCCCTGCAGGCTGGTCAACATGGCATACCTGGCGGTGGTGGGGTCGTTTGCGGTCAACGGCGTGGCCGCCATCCACTCCGAGATCATCAAGACAGACATCTTCCCGGTGAGAGGCCCGCCTGCTCTTTTAACCTTTTAAATAACCTTTGAATCTTTTGATCCCCAAACCCTTGAAACTGGGTGGGCGAGGCGGGGTGCAGCCTGGGGGAGAGGCGGTGCAGGGGCCCGAGGGGGCGCACCTCGGCGGCAGCGCTGGCCGCTCCGCGGCGGGCAGCAGGCAACCTGCCTTGGCGCTGCGCTGCCGGCAGCGTGCCGAGCTGGCGGCGGGCCGTGCAGCCCCACCCCTGCCTGACATCCACCTGGCAAACACAGCCCCGCACTCGCCGCGCCGGCCGCCTCCCTCCAACGCCCGCCCGCCTCCCCTCCCTCCCCTCCCACCACCCCTCCCTCCCCTGCAGCACTTTGTGGAGCTCTTCCCCGAGCGCTTCCAGAACAAGACCAACGGCGTGACGCTGCGCCGCTGGCTGGCCTACTGCAACCCCGAGCTGTCGGCGCTCATCACTGAGGTGGGTGCTGGGTCCGGTGCCGGTGGCTGGGGCTGGGCCCCCATTTGCGTGCGCCGCTGGCCACCGGTCCACACGCCTTGGGCTGGGCAGCGCCGGGGGCGCGCGTGCCGCTCGGCCGCCGCGCCTGGCGGCCGTGCGGCACAAGGGGAGTCTCTCCTCGCCACGGGCGCGGCGTCGCGCGGGGGAGCGCCGCCGGCCGGCGTCGGCCGGGCGCCCTCGCTGCGCGCTCCCTTCATACACCAAGCCGCCGCCGCCCCGCCATCCCGCCAACGGCGCTCTCGCTGCGCGCTCCCAACCCAACCCTCAGCCGCCGCCGCCGCCGCCCTGCCCCCGACCCCCGCAGGCGCTGGGCACCGACGCCTGGGTGCGCGACGCCACGCTGCTGGCGCAGCTCAAGCCGATGGCGGAGGACGCGGCGTTCCGCGCCCGCTGGCGCGCCATCAAGGTGCAGAAGAAGGAAGCGCTGGCGGCGCGCATCAAGGAGGTCACCGGCTTCACCGTGCCCACAGACTCGATGTATGACGTGCACGTGGGTGCCTGGGGGAGGGAAGGGGGCGGGTGCCGTTTGGAGTCCAATGCTGGGCGGGTGGCGGGGGTGGCGCGGGCGCTGCGGGCGGCCTGGTGTTGGTTCCCTTCCTGGGTGGTGGTGGTGCGCGGCACCACCTGCGGGCGGCCTGGTTTTGGTGCCCGGCTGGGTGGCACGGGCCGGCTGCTGTGGGTGCTGCAGCCCGGATGATGATGGCGGCGATGTGGGGAGCCGCCCGGGGCTGTGGGGTGCAAGTTCTTGTCGGAGCGTGTGTTGGTGGGGGACTGGGGCCACGTGGGCCGCTCAATCCCTAGCCTGGCTCGCCTGCAAGAGAGCGCTGCAGAGCGCCTGGCTGCCAGCCGAGCCCGCTCGGTCAACCCGCGAAAACAAATCTG